ATTGCCTCACAGTTTGACACGAATGTTGTCTTCTCGTGCCGCATGCGTCTTAAACAACTCTTTCAACAAGTGAACAACAGCCGGATTCCGATGGGCTGCACTGTCAAACACGAAAAGAAATTCATTCCATGCAAAGAGAAGAAAGTTTACTCCATCCCCTTGAGCTGCGGCCATCAATACATAGGACAGACCGGCAGATGCACCAATCACAGACTCCGCGAACATCACAACGAAGTTTCTAAGGCCTCTCCAGATTCTTATCATCCCATAGTCATACATGCACGTTCGTGTTTGCGTTGTCATCCCCTCTTTGATGACACAAAAATCCTGGGGGGGGGGGGGGGGGGCATGACAGCAGAATCGGCAGGGAAATCGTAGAATCATCCGCCATGACTACAGCAAAAAACGACGTGTCAAACCCTTCCCTCCTGCTGACGAAAACTGAGGTTGAATTTTTAAAATCCGAGATAACCCTACCACCCTGACTTGCACTTCGCTTTCCTTCTCTCCCCCTTCTTTCCCCTACTCCTACTGGGTATAGTCGGCTGCTCGCTGTTGAATGTTTACTCGTCTGTTGCTAGTTGAAAGATGTGGTTGTGTTGTCCCTGTTTTAATTGTTTTATTCTTGCTTCATCCAAGAAGGCTTTCTTCTCTTCCTTTCTTGCAGAAATGTACATCGTGGTGCATCCGGGAGAAAAGCAGTGTGTTTGTCGTTTTGCCGTCGTGGTAGTCTTGACGCATGGGACAATATTTCCGGGAAGAGCGCCACAAAGGAGCATTACTTTTAGCGAAGCGAACAAGACTTTCCCGATGCGGCGTCTCCAATAGGCATCTCTGAGTCAAGGAGCGCGCCACCTATCGTCATCATGAGGTACTAGGGCGCCGCTGCACACGGAGCAAGCTCCGCGGTGCTGCCACCTCCTCCGTCTAGCCAGTATAGCACGGTGTTGCGCTAAAGTTACCACTCGTGCAGCAGGATCGCAAGGCTACCGTTGCGATAACGCGCCCACGCGGATTTTCCGTCTCTTCTCATAGCCCCGCCTTGTGCCCGTTGCTGCACGAATGGTAACTTTGGCTTTCTTCAGCGCAGTACTGCGCTTCCCACTTGCTCAAATTATTTCTAGGAATGACTGATTTAATGGTTTTAATTGACGCTCAGCAAATTTATAATTAAAATCATGGATATTTTCACGAATTAAGAATTAATTATAAACTTTTAGGTAATTATTTGACTTATCTTAAGGATTGCCCCGCCCGATATTATGCCCCTCTGGCCGTATAACTCACCTGCACCAACCGCATTAGTCCAGGTTTTACGGATTCTGTAGCCGCATTAGTGAAGACAAACCGCTTTAGTGTAGATTTTACTTTCTTTAAAGATTTGCACAAGTTAAAATGTTTTGCATTTGAATACTTATTTAGATTATTAAAACGTACAGCGTAAATAGACGGCACAGAAAAGAGAGGACACACAATCGCTGAGCTTGCAACTCTAGATTAATTGTCAAGAAGAAAAAGCTAACACGCACTGAATGACACACACTAGATCACAGCACCATCATCGCGAATATGTTGTCGTCGTGCAAGGAACTCTAACTCTTTATCAGATAGCGAAAAAGACAGGGCGCTTACACAATCTTCCTTTAGGTGCTGAATAATCTCCGATTCGATAATTTCTCTACTCAGGTCTAAAGTACCTAGATAAGAGCTTTCTAGAAGCAGCGACATTCTTTGAAACACCGACTGCGTGACGGTGCAAACTTTAGGAAGCGAATGGCGGCGCCCAGCCAAGGTTTGAACTGAATGCCGCCATTTGCTTTCAGCGGAACGCGCTTTGTCATTTGTATTGGTTTCCGTTACTTGTAAAAGAAGTTTCAAGGCACTTTAGCCAGGGCCTTGCCACTTCATCCAATGACTGAACACGTTTCAAAACGTCACACACAGTCACGACAACGCCAATAAAGGAAGATGATTTAAGCACACCGTCTGTTTCGCTATCTGGTAAAGAAATGCTCCTTGCACGACGGCAGCATTCACGATGATGGTGCTGGGATCTAGTGTGTGTCATTGGGTGCGTGTGTGTTGTTTCTTATGTGGTCGGATTAAACTTTAGTTTTAAAAGTTCACAGATTGTGTGTTCTCTCTCTTCCGTCTCGTCTGTTTACGCTGTACGTTTTAATCATCATGCTTTATCAACACACCCAAGCTTCCATATTGAATAATTATTCGGGCTTATTTATTGAGTACTTCCTCGTTTCTGTTCCCGTATTCTTTTTTTTTTTTTTTTCGGCCCTCCAGACCGCGATTGATTCCTATGCCGTCCCCTTAGCCAAAGCGTTTGGAGATACCTGCACGAAATTACTAATTCTCTGGCAGAAATATAAATAAATCTTGGGTTCGAGGTAGTTGGTTAGTCATTATGTTTTGTTCTGCGTTGCTAAAGTTTACAATCTAGGACGAAGAAGGACGACACTCACACACGAATGGTGCACAAACTGGGTTATTTTTCCTTCCAAACAAGTATGGTTGAAAGAAGAAAAAAAACATTGAAAAGATAAAAGAGGGACGGATCTCAACCCGCCTCTCGGTCTTGCCTCTTTGTAAAATTGTAATAAACACACATATATGCGCCCGTTTCTTTCGTTTCAGTTACCAAATAAGTTTAGCGCAGTGGTATAGTTGCAATTAATTGGGACTTTTCTAACTCATTTCCTGCATTAATTTAATATATAAGGCAAACCTCCACCAACCTTTCTTTTTTGTAACAGTTTAGGTAACAGAAGCGTCAGATTATTTTTAAGAAAAACGTGACAGCAAAGTGCATCGGCTTTTGTCCCCCGAATATTTACCTGATAGACTGTATATTACAGGACTGAAATTAACTGTACACGTTTTTAGGGCTCGGCAATTGATTGATTAATCTACTGATAATCGATTAATTCTTTAATCGCGATAGAGGTTTAACCGTTCAGTCGGTAAAAATTTGAGGAAGTAACGGAAAGTAAAAATTAAACGCTTTCGCCACACAGGTGGAAACGAGAACACCTGTATGGATGAAAAACTTTAGGCTAAAGCATTTAAAGAGCACAAGGAAAGAAAAATAAATTTAAACAGCCTGGATGAAAAAGGAGATCATAAAACAAATTTGCACCGAAAAAAAAAAAATTAGTTATTTTTTGCGCCCGAGTAGATTTGTTTGTCAACCGAGGTGCAACTGTCTCTCGCGTCTGTTCCCGTAGCGGGGAGGAGAAGTAAGCCGCTTGGATTGGCTTGGCTATTCGGCTTAAAAACGTACGCGAGCCTCCTGCGACTTCCGCTCAACTTCGGCGCATTCTCTGTTCTTGGGTTTCTATGCTGGTGGGGGTAGCAGTGATAGTCTGCCTCTTTTGCGATGGATACGCAGTTGAAGTGTAGACTTCTTGACCGCATCAAGCAACTAGCGGTTCGCCCATTCGAAGACACGCCTCGATGACAAGCGAACATCCCCGCTGAAAACTCCGAGGCCAGCGGTGTGCCTGCGGACAGTGGTGACGGTGGCTCGCAGCAGCCGCTCGAGTGGTACCAGTAAAACCGGAAGAGCCGACTTGCTTGTACTTGTTGTTTCTCAAACATTAAAATGTTTTAATAAAAAAAGCTAAAAAAAATGAAGATTAATAAGTAATTTTTAGACCCCATACGAAGCTCCCCAAAGAGCGCAAACACCACGTGAATATAATGGCCAGTCACGTGACTGCTAGGTGCCACTTTTCCGGGGGCTACCACGGGCGTTAAATACAAGTTAGTTTCGCACCATAAATATAGCACTAAAATATTTTTTTCGTTCTAAATTTATTTTGACATCCTTTTTCCATCCGAGCTGCTTAATCTTTTTTTCTTTTACCTTGCATTTTTTTTTAAAGTGTGATTCAGCATACGAGTTGCATATCACGCTGTTTATACTATATTCAGCAAAAGCAACATAAATTAAATCTGACTTTAAAAAAATGAAAGCCATTTACAACTCCTGTAGCGCCGAATTAGAGCGCAGCTCTTGAGGAGGAGGAGGGAAGGGTACTGAGGGGAAGGTATACCCCTCCTACCTACTCCTGACCTCCTCATCCTCCCTCCTCATCAGAGACGACGACGTCATCCTCGTCGCCACTGATGACGTCATCGGACGTCATCATCATCATCACTGATGACGTCATCAGTGACGTCACCAGTGACGTCAAGCGTCCCAAAATGGACTGCGCGGTTATGCCGACTGCGACGGCGACGGCGACGGCGACGCCGCTCAAGCCGGAAACGGGCGCCTAAGAGCTGCGCTCTAAAAAAAAATATTTAGCATGGGAATGAACGAAACCGATTAATCGATCAATTAATTTATTACTGTGTGGAGATTAATAGGGGACGCTCAACCCTATTTAGCGATCATGATAAACTCGAGTTCGTATAACATCAACATATGCATTAAATTTGTAACTTAATTTCTTGCTCATGCTGATTTCACAAAAGCTTCATTTCCGTAATATGCGGGCAGTGTGCAGCTCCTGTGAGGCAATATAATTGCAAATACACAGACCAATCGGCATCATAATCGATAATTTATGGCGTCAGTGGAATTATTTCTTTCTTCTAGAGAGGGTAAAGGATTGAGCAGCACGTGCACAGATGCCCGAGCAAGTTTCGCCTCTATTTCAAAGGCTTAACTTTATTATCGACAATATGAGTTTTCAAAGCAACGAGTTTTCGTTCCGCTAAACATAAATTTAAACGCCGCAAATTGATAAGAAACAGGAAATTAGACTCGTCGTACATCGCAGCCAAAGCACGGCGTTCCGCTGTGCTTTGGCTGCGAGCCTCGGTGCTCGAGGTGCACGAGACGTTGAAGCATTGTCGAAGGTAGGAAGCTCGCACTGGAGGGTGGACAACTGAAGCTCCTTACTGACGTTCTCACCTTATCAGTGACAATAGCTATCTCTCTCTCTCTACATATATATAAGATTTTAGGAAAGGCTCACCTCAAATACGGACGTGATCTTCAGTCTGTAAAGTACGGGTATATCGACATGAATCGTGAAGGGGATCAGCAGTAAGGTCGCCGCGGACGCCGCCCATCCCAAGTGAAGGCCATAAGCGTAGTAGTGGGCAGTGAACGCGATGAATCCCGTGGACGACATGGCGGAGGCCATGGAGGACAGGGCCAACGGAACCATTCGTAATGTCCGGCTGCCGAGGAACATTTCTTCGATGTTCAAGCGGCCTGTCCTCTTGAAGGCAAACCCTAGGCCTATGCCAATAACGGTGACGGTGAAGAACGCGAAGACCGCGAACTCGACAGGGTGCGTCATTGGCCTTGACGCGCTGACCGCGGAGTCTGTCTCGAAACAGGTCTGCACCGACTCTAGTGCATCAGGTCCGGAGTACTGTACGCAATTCTCCTTCTCCGCCCCCTCCCCTTTCCGCTCCTCTCTCCCGCGCGCAGGTGTTCGCTGGCCTTATTTTATAAATATCTCTGTATATCGTTTTGTACGTTGGGGATCTGGCATCACGCCGATGTGGTGGCGCTGCCGTCGGCATGGCGCCCGTAGAGACTCCTCACTAAACGATAATCAGGTTTCTGCGCAAGCGCTGCGCCCGCGCCTAGTGTGGGTCAAAACCTCTCGATATTGAAGCGGCACCAAGACTTGGCGGCCTCATGAACTAATAAGATACTGTATTATGGCTATGTTGAATGATTCAGTATTCATAGCCTAGCGCCTTCATTGTCTCTCGCCGTAGTCAACTATACATGTCTGGACATGGGGCCCGATTATTGAGATATTGAGTTCGGAAATTACAGATGTTGACATGTCAACTAAACAGCTGGATCGCACCATGTAATGATGCGGTCCCTTTAGCGTGCATAAATTCGGAGTGAAAACGTTCTTGATATTACTACATTTTTATACTTATTAGACTACGAGAATGTAATTCTACTCATGGTTCTATACTCCGCAGCAGGTTCTACATACACATGGCACCAATCAAACGGCGTCAAGAACTCAACGCCATGACGTTCGTCGTCGTTCTCGACGTGTTCCATTATTCGCCAACCTAACCTAGAACAGCGAATGCCCGGTGACTTGCGCTTTTAAAATGTCGGTGTTTGTATATGTTAGATCCTTCGACTGCGCTCGGACTGGTGATAAAACTAAGTATTCACCTTTTTTACAAGGGTGCGGGCATCTTGAATATCGTCAATTCTGGTATGCGGTCAAACATCCTTTTGATCTCTCCATGCCGCTGGAAGGTTTTTAGGAAGAATGCGTGATTATCACACATTATTCTTTTGCCTCTCCTATATTTCTCGCACATTCCACGTTGAAAAGCTTTATTATTTTTCGTCCCGCATACCAAATACGGAACCTACGTGACGGAGAATGACAAGAAACAGAAAACGTCAATAATCGACATTGGGGACGGGGGATCGAGGCTACGCTAATGTGACGATAGGTGACAAGCATGGGCGTACCAACCGAGGTGGGGGGGGGGGGGGGGGGAGGGGGGTCTGGTTTGCTTCCTCACTCAAAAACAAGTTGGTACGCCACTGGTGACAAGGCAGGAGGAATAAACTTCCCGTGCCGATAGCGGCTGCTCTCATACACGGCCTCTATTCAGGAAAGCTCTAAGCGAAAGCAGACGTACAATAACGCGTATGGATTAAAAGTTTCTAGAAGAGCGACCTCGTGGCTCTGGGCGTGGGAGCCGGTGCAATGCCAACGCGGCCACGTGCACGCGGCCACGCCCACGCAGCTGCAGGCTAAATCCGTAGCGGCCTTCAGGTCTACGGCGTATCCGCCTCCACTTGAACTTACGAACTCAGCCATCGTTTTCACCAGAGATGGCAAAATTACTTTGAAAAAGTAATTAAATTACAGTACTAATTACTTTTCTGGAAACTGCAATAATATAAATAAATTACATTACAAATTACCGCAGGCTAAAAGTATCGACATTACATTCCAATTACTTCTCAATAGAGATGAAATTACTTTTACGTTACTTTTCAATATCCCGAGGCAATAATTCGTGCTCATTTTATTTAATGTATATGTACTAAACTCAGACCTTTGTGTTTACACCGCAACAGCCATATGCGCCTCAAAGTGAACCATACCGAACAGTCGTTTAGCTGGAGCGCACAGCATAAATGTTGAACTTGATGAATAACTTCTTTAGATGTGACTCAAAGGCAGTCGACTCATCGCTTTCGCTGTTTATTCAACGGTGAAGGTCCTTAGCCAAAGGGTGATATGTTTCTGTCTTCCCGGTTTAGATCATGTTATGGTCCATGTCAGTCTGGTAAGTCGGGCCATGGGAGCTCGTTCTTACAAGGAGTCGTCACGTGAAAAGTTTCTCCTCAGCCTCGGACGCAATCTAATCCTTTCCCCCAGAGCACTAGCTGACATTTTACCGCACATTCCTCTCAAGAAGTCTTGTTCCCCAACACCCGAAGAGCCCAAGTTATTGCGCGTTGTCACACAAGGGGGTTGGATATTTGCCAGGCAGAAGTGTCGCATTTGAGGAAAAGAATGGAGCGAGCTTCCTAAAATGTGTACTTTTCCAACGAATGGGTGGCGTTATCTATCGGTAGCTTATTGCCGAATAAACTTCAGAGGGAAAGGCAGTGACGCATATCCGCGAGCGGCACCTGTTTTGCTCGATTCCCGTCTTTTACGACTAGAACAAGCACCTTTACTTAACAAGCCCAAGGATACGCATGAAACGTTTTGGGGCTTTAAGTAGGCATTTGGGATTAACTATTTTTCCGGTCGTTGGTTGCTAACAATGGTCGAAGCCTACGGTTTGACCTTGCTTGACAAAAGAGCTAGAAGGATGGGGATCTGTTTGTCCTGTCCTCTCAGGTTTTAATATTTGTCGACCTCACTGCTGATATGCCTTTCGCCTGGTAGCTTATAAGCCGTTCATCCCTAAGCTGACAGTGCGGTGGAAGCTACGTGCTCGTTTGAAAAGTCACACGTGTATCTTTCGCATGGTAACCACGCTCTCGTCCATAGCTACGCGCAGAGTAAGCGACGGGCCAGGGGATCAAGGGAAGGTGGTTGATTGGTTCTGGATTGACTTGCATTTCATGGTGGTTCGTGTTTAGCTTTAAAAAACCAAACCAAATGGAATTGATGGCATATCGATAACAATTGTACGACGAAATTGTGCGGTTTTGACTACAGTTACTTTATTCATGTTAGACGGCTTCGTAACGACCTGTGTAATTCCAAGAACTAGAACTTGGCAGTTGATCAATTAACCTAACGATTAATTGATTAATGCTTTAATCACAATTATTTATTAACCGTTTAATCGGTAATACTTTGACGACCCAAAATAAAATAAAAACTAAACGCTTCTACCACGGAGACGTGGACGAGCACACCCGTGTAAATGGCAAACTGGTAAACATGTTACCTAAAGTTAGCTGTAGGGGTGAGATCCCTAACCCCAGGTGAGGGCAGAAGGGTACACGTGTCCCGGCCATTTCAATGTCGTACGAGTGTCCGTTTAGTTCAGCGGACTGTTGCAAAATCAAAGCAGGTCGCTCTCGCCGGAGAATATCACCTAACCTCTTTGCCTCATGCAGATGAAGGAATTATCTAGGAGTATCAGTTTTTGAACTGTTCTCAAAGATACCTCGAGGTTAATTCGAATTCTTTACTGCGCCGTTAAACAAGTAATGAGCAAAAGCAAAACAAAAGAACAAATTAGTTTTGACTTTTGAAAATATTATGCACGAAAATGAACGAGACCGATTAATTGACCATACTTCGTTTCAGCTTCGGTCCGAGCGCGGCCGATGTTATGAGCCGAAGGGCCAATCAAACAGCGCAAAAAACGCAGCGTCATGCTGTGCTCTCTGCGCTTGATAGGACTAGCCGGCGGAGGAGCGCGCACAGAGAGACGGGGAATACCGGCTGGTCCTATAAACTGCAGAGAGCACCCCATGACGTTGTGCCTCTTTCTCTGTTTGATTGGCCCTTCGGCTCATAACATCGGCCGCGCTCAGACCGAAGCTGAAACGAAGTATAATTAATCGATTAAAGGGTGGCGATTAATCGGGCTAAACATTTTAAACGACGCTCAGCCCTACTTCTGGTGAGCTCGTAGCTCCCACCGCACTGTCAGCTTAAGGATGAACAAAGCAGAGCGTCGTCTTCGTGACGTGACGCCGTGAATCTGTCTTGCCTAGAGTTCGTGAGCTGTGGCCCTCAAGCGATGTCTTTACACGTAAGCTTTCCCCCTTCGCCTTTCCTGCCCGCCTTCGTGCGTCTGTCAAGTACTTCGTACGCTCAGGTGGCCGCCGTGTATTTTCTCTGATGTCTCTTTGACGACATTTCACCGTGCAAAATATTTTTTATCTTTTTTTAAAGCTCGCAAACGAGCTTTTTTATTTGGGACAAGAGTAACTTTCAAAAATAGCGAGTTTTCGAAATTACTGCCTGAAAGTAATTCATTACATTGCTGAATTACCAGCCTATAAAAGTCCTTTATTATATTAGTCATCACCACAAAAAGAAATTTACAGTAATGTCATTACTGCCACCTCCGGGTTTTACCCTTGTCAACTAATACCGGACACTTTCCTTTGTGCTTATTCGGGAGCATACAATAGCTTGCACGTTTGGCGCACGTGGCTCGAATTGGAAACGCGGTATGTTTAATCCGTGCTAAGAGTAATTGGCTCTATGAAATGCCTCGGCTTCTCATGATAGTTCAAGTTAAAAAGCTGGGCACATGTGTACTTTATGGATCGACATTCACCACAGTTTTGCGAAATCCAGCTGCAGCGCAAGAAACGTTCATGAACAGCTATATAGCAAGCACAGTAAACACGTATAGCGCCGCGAAAAATGCCAGTTGTTTCGATCACAAGTTGTCAACACATACGATGTTTCCTTTTTTTTTTACCTCCGATGATGAAAGAAAAAAAAAGAAGGAATATAAGAGTGATAAAAAAAACTTTAATATACAGAAAATTTAGACATGTAGTGCAGGTACTTTTCTTTATAATCACCAAGCCAATTTTGTGGCACTGGCTCTCGGATGCTTCTTTAGGGAAGGTCTCCGCCTGGGTTCTCGGGTGGCTATTATTGGAGTTTGCGTTTGTTTCGAACTTCTCGTTTGGACCTTCCCAAAAATGCCATTCTCATCACGTCCATCTCGGTTGGGCCCGCCGCTTTTGGTAACTTCTACATATATCCCTCGCGTTTCATCCTCCCAGAAAACAGTTAAAAGAAAGGCACCTTGAGGTGACGGTGCCATGACTTGGTCACCGTGTATCTTGGACGAAGCTTCT